ACAAAAGAAAAAATTTGAAAAAATGCAAGCCGGTTCCGGACCGGCCCAAACCCGGCCTGTCGATTAAAAAATTTATAAATGTGTGGCCCAAAACCAGCCCAGTCAAACTACGGGCTCAATTTGGGCCCACTGACTATGGGCTGGTTCCAGAAATCGGAGAGTCTGGCCAGCCCGTGGCCATGTCTACGTGAGAAAGACAAAATGTTACACTTATGGTTGGGTCATTGGAAAATTGGTATCAGGAAAGTTACTGGCAAATCGTATTGAAGAACAAACTTTTCTTTTAATTGTTCAATTATTCAAATGAGATGCCTACATGAGATGACAAACGCCTCCTTGCATTCCACAACTCGCTCTCACAAAGCTCCCTAAACCTATGTATGCTAAACTCTTACCAACAAAAAACCCAGATAGTGAAAAGCACCCAACACTACTAGAAAGTTTGTTCTCCATTGGTAGTTGTTTGAACCAACACTACTATATAAACTATGATTACAAAAGCTTCTTCTCCATCAACTTCTGCCGCAACTCAACAGCTTCATAAATCATGCCTGCAGAACGTACGCCTTGCACGACATACGAACATAGCAAATGACAGTTCTTGCTCTTACTTGAAGCCAGCATTTGGACAACACCAACTGCACTATCCACTTCTCCTTTCTCACACAACCTGTTTATTATGAACTTATAACAGTTGTCCCTTATCCACCGCCTCTTGTTAACCCCAATCAATCTCAACAACTCAACGGCTTCCTCAACAAGGTCTGCCTGATAAAATCCCCATATCATGCAACGGTACGTAATTACATCTGGAAGTATCCCAAACTCCACCATACGATTATACATCTCCATTGCCTTCTCCATTAGCCCCATTTTACAAAACCCATCGATAAAAATATTAAACGTGATTAAAGTGGGGGCAGACTCGGTATTTTTTAAACAATGAAGAATCTCGACTGCTTCATTTATAAACCCCTCCTTGCAGAGGGCGCGTAATAACGTATTGTACGTGATTATATCCGGGAGGCATTTTTTCGAAACCATGCGTTCGAAAAAGTCAACCGCGCGGTCAACCATCCCGTGCCTGCAAAGTCCATTGATCAAGATATTGTACGTAACAACCATCGGTGGGTTTGAAGAAGAACTCTCCTCCATGAAACGAACAATCTTGTCCACCTCATCCCAACGCGCGAAAGTACAAAGAGAATGCAAGAGAGTGTTGTACGAGACGACATTTGGCTTCATTCCGTGCGAGAGAAGGTCAGAGAAAGTTCGGACAACATCCTCGTAACTTCCTCTTTTACAAGCAAGGCTGATAATCGAGTTATACGTTACTAAATCGGGATAACACCCCTCGGCCGCCAGGTCATCCATGATTTCCAATGCACGCGAAAGCCCGAGATTTTCGCAAACGGGCACAATGAGGATCGTGTACGTGATCACGTACGGCTGGCAACCTTTTCTCAACTGATCTTTCCAGAACTTCACGGCCTCGTCAAATTTTCCGAGCCTGCACATGGCTTTAACGATTGTGTTGAAAGAGATCATGTCTGGAGGGCAGCCAGTCGAGCTCATGCTCTCGAGAACATCGACTGCTGAGTCGAGACGACTTTTTCGGCACAAGCCACCGATCAGCATGTTGTAAGTGATTATGTCGGGGGTGCCACCTGTCATTACCATCAGCTGGAGGACTTTAGCAGCTTTGAAAGTCTGACCGGAATTTACAAGGCCTCTGATGAGCTTTATGCAGGAAGGGTAATCCGGGATTTGATTACGACCCGTCATTATGTCAACTAACTTTGCAGCGTCTTGTAATTTTCCGCGGTTGCATAAGGTTCGGAGGATCTTGTTGTTTGCATTCTCGTCGTTTTCGATCTTTGGAAGATGTGTGAAATGGCCATTGGATTTTGATTTTGTCGCTCGATTTCTTTTGCTCATTAGGACAGTTGTTTTTTCTGTTGTGCCATGAGCTTCACTTGTTTGTAGATGGGATTGTGTTCTGCAACTGACGGGTGCATTTGCAAATGGGAAGGTGGGCTTTTTATGAGGATAACGATTGGTGATGATGTTAATATCTGGCAGTCTGTGAACTCCAACAATTGATTTTTGTGGTAGGACTGTATAGGCCATTACTGATATCCAGATTAAAAGAAAAACAATGACCTTTTACAGCATAGCTTCTCTGAAATTCCCCTGTCCTGTATCGCTCACAGAACACCAGAAGTACTAAAAATCAAACCAATATCAAGAAATGTAAAACACATAAATAAATAAATCAAAATCACATATTTTTTCCTTAAGTTACAAGATAAGTAACGAAAAGTCACCTTTCAAAGACAATTAATCAATCGTTTCCTATTGATACCTTCAAAATTTCTGTTTGACATGACAGAAAAAGTCTGGGACGGTTTAAGTACTATCAGGTTGACAATTCAAGCATCACAGAAAATGAACATATGAAGCTTGATCACGATTTAATTTTGCTTTCCGTCAAATATGCGGCGACAAACTAACAGATGACAAATACCTCCCATGTGAGAACATATCAATAAGAACATCTTGTTACAGAGGAAGCAAATATATGTCTGTTCGCACAGTTCACACATAGTATGCATTTTTTAAACTTAAGTAAAACCCTCAATTCTTGTTCAAATAAAATCAGAGATAATGTAAAACAACAGCAAGAACAAGTGTAACGGAATCCAAAAGCCAGTTGAACTCAAAATTTTCTTTGTTCTTTTAAAACAAAAATTAAAAAAGGAAGAAAAGAAGCTGAAAAACAGAAGATAGATTACACACAACAGCAAGGTCTCATTACACACTTCGAATTGCAATCATAATCTTGGTGCATTATTACAGCACCTGAAAGTAGCTAACGTTTGCAAAAAACAACAGAAAATGAAACGAGAAAAACCTTGAAATCTCTGGCACGAGAAGCGGTTGATGAAGATATAACGAGAAAGAAAGAAAAGAATGAATGGAGATAAGAGTCAAATTAAACCCATGAAATGGTGAAAGCAAAAAAGCGTGATTACCAAAGAGGGGTTAGGGTTTTAACAAAAAGTTGTATGAAGAAGGTTGCATTTTGTTTCTTTAGGTTAACATTGGATATGGAATTTCTGTACAAGATTTTTTCTCATTGTGGAGAATAAAATATTTTTAGAATTGTAAGTAAAAATAGTATAAAATTAATAACATTGATATAATAGAAAAATAATAAAGCAATGTTATTTTTATTTGCTAACTGTTTAGAAATTATGAATAAATAAATAGTACATTTATTAATATATAACAATTATTGTTTTATATTTTTTCAGAAAAAAAAAATAAGATGAAGTGAAAAAACATTGTTTTGATTTATAGCTTCAAGTGATCCATCTTGACTAGCCGACCAAAACAGTGGAAAAAAAATTTATTTATGATTTTATAATTGGTGATTCCATATACTTCAGTTATTCTCAAATATGTATGAGACAATCATAATTACAAAAAAAAAAAATATCAGTGTATATTAGTAGTTGTAATATAAAAATATTATTCTTATAAAGTATAGAAATGTAATATGAATTATTTGAACGTTTTAAAAAGTTTATGATTTTCAGTATTTGATAAAACTAAATGTTATGCATAGTCAATAATTGACAATTTCACATAGTAATTTAACAGAAAGCTTATTAATATATCCTTTTAATATCATAAATTTTATTATGTCTAGAATAGTTAATTACATGAACTTTTTGTATTTATTTTTGAATTATGGAAGGATAATCAATAACATGATTATTTTTTTTTTAAAAAGAAAGATTATCTATCGAAAAAATGCGATAAGGTATGTAAAATACAAAATTCCAATTTTAGAACAGCTATTAATTGTATATTTCTATTTTTAGCAAGTATTTAAGCACTGGTAGTAAACATTTCTCCTTCAACAAATCTTTCCTTCATTTCCTTCTACGGTTCTACCAAAGCTCCACTCTAACTATTTATCAGCCATATGAAGTCTTAGACATTGAATTGTTTTCTGATAAACAAAATTCAACACTCACAAAATGAATAAATATTAAATAGTTTTAAATACTATGATTCATGCATGTTGATGTTCTCAAGAAGTTTTATCCTTCAGTTTTCATGATTTTTATCACTAATCTTATCATCTTATAGCAAAAACAGGATGGTATTGTGCTCAACATACATTTCTATCAAGTTATAAAATTTAAAAACAGTAGATTTAAAATTAGTTTACAGATACAGGCATAATGACATAAATATAAATACAATGTACACCCGCAAAGCACGTCGAAAGTTTTTGTTCGTGGTTTTGCCCACGAACGAGACTAAGCTGCAATTCTAACACACTATAAATTTTTCCTTCTTTTTTTCCTGGTTCATAAAAACATCTTCTTCATTTTCCCGGCAAACTTAGCCCGACTTCGATTTATTTAATAAAAAAGAATGCCTTGTGGATAGAGGAAATGCAACCTCATAGATATTACGTACAAAGCCTTTATCGTAAAGATTATTTTTGACCACTTGAACTTCCTCCAAACGTGATCTTCTGAAAAACGCTGTCCATTTGCTCCCTTGACTCTTCCTTTCTTCATGTAGTTCGCCTAAGCTCGCTTTCAGGGCTGCTTCACTTGCTTTTGCCTCGTTTACTTTCCTCTGCCAACTCATGTGCTCTTGCCATTTGAAACTCTGCATTTTTTTTTTTTTTTAAGAATCGACCGGCAACTCAAATGAAAATTTGTCAACTTTTATGCTAACATGTTGTTCCTCCATTCACTTGTAACGATAAAAATGTATCAAATGGGAAAAAAAAAGGGAAGAAAAGAAAATGGCTAATAAATGTGATGATATATGTACCTCATTGGTGGTAGTGTTTGTGATGCAAAGTTTAGCATGGTAGATGAAGAAACCCGCTATTAGAAGAGAAATTACGGCCAGAAATACAATGATAAGAATTTGTGTGTTGTGAGAGTTCAGCAGCCACTGCCAATAATAAGACGAGAAAATTATCACCAAAAGGTATTTAAAACAACCCAGTATGTTTATCTACAATGCATGTATACAAGTGACCTATGCATTATGGATCATGTGCATGCTACATATATCCTCACTTTAGAATTGCAAAAAAGAAAAAATTATATTTGGAGGGAAAGATAGTGATGTAAATATAATGATTGTTTATGCACTACATATAAGTGAAAGTACAAAAGTATGTTTGATGTATACTTCTTGTTAAATTAGAACATGTAAATAAAGAACGACGACAAATGATTAATTTCTTAGTTTCCTGTATGCAATAAACGAACCTCTTGGTTTATTTAAGAAAGAAGTTTGTGAAGACGTGTAATTGCTCTAATTTTCTTGGTCAGGCTTAGGAGGTGTAAACAATGCTGTGTCCCCATTTTGGACTCAAATATGCATTTTGACAAACGCAATGAATTTTAGGAGCAAAAAAGACATTTTACCAGTTGGATAATTTAGTTAGACGTAAAAAAATCAGATGAAAAAGCCTCGCGACATTAGCAGTGGAGATCTTGGCCTGAAAGGTATTTATGCTTGAGGCTGAAATTAATTAATTTACTCACCTGTACAACAAGTGGAGCCAACTTTCTGAATGAATTTTCAATCCCATAATAAGCTGCAGCATCAGATGCAACTCAGCTATTAGACTTGTTCAAGAACCATGAAAAACATTCATTTTTGGAATAAAACCTATCAAACCTGTTAGAATGTGGATAATTTGTAGTTCTTTCACTCTTCCAGCAAGAAGCAACCCAAGTGCGACTATCCCGTATATACAGAGAAGCAAATGCCTGCATAGGCATTTACAAAACACAAATTTAGAGAAAATCCAAGATCCAACTTCAGAAGTGTCTAAATATGACCAGCGACATTTTTCAGATTTGCACAACCGAAAATTACCTGTAATGCATGAATTATTTATATTGAACTCAACTAAATGGGGGTCTCATGCAACAACTTGGGTTTAAACTAAATATTATATTATCACCAATATATATATATATAGTTAATTTCAGCAATTTGTTCTTTTACTTTTCATGTGCATATATACGTACAGCTTAACAATTTACCTCAAAACATTTTTAAATTATGTAGATGCTTGCTTAGAAACTCAGCCGGTGGTTGCTATTAAGGAAACGCCATTGTTATAAGAAAAATAGTGCCTCAATTACACAACTTTAGTGCAGCCAATATAGGAACACTGCACCTTTGATATACCGTCATTTCTTCCAGACATATTTACATATCACAGCTAAAAGAAATTTCAGATCAAAGGCAACACTAATATGCCTTTTTGGCTCAAGTCTATTACTCACCAAATTAGAAAAGCCATGAAGTATCTTGTGTTTCTCTCTCCTATGCAATTGTTCTTCAAAGAAGATAAAGTAAATAAAATAGTTTAATACTACATGACAATATCGAAATAATAAACAGAGTCTAATCATCATTAAAGATATCAGAAAGAAAGTTTAGCAAGCATACCATCCAAGCACAGTGGTGGTCAAACCGAGCTACACAGCGGTTACATATGCTACAGTGCTTTGACCTAGCAGGTCTAACAATACAGTAGAACAGAGAAAAAAGTAAATCAAAATATTATTTGCAGTCTTGTTATTTTTAGGAATCAGACTAAATAAAAAATGGGCTTTACTTGGGAATCTTGCAGGTGGGACATTCTTTCTCTGAGAAGATAATGTTGTCGTATGGATAAGCTGAAAGGTATTGAGATACATTGGTTGAATTTACAACCCCTGGATCAGAAAAGCTAGTAAATAGAAAGAGGAGAATACCCACTCCAACTGCCAAGAAGCTTGTGTACCTATTAATACATAATTTATGAGTAGAGTAACAAATTTTTCACCCCCGATTTACGAAATGGTCAATTGAAATCATATAAACAACAAGTAATAGCAGTCGCATTTACCTGTGCGCTCCACTTAGGTAGTATCCTGGAATGTAGCTGAAGGATGATTGTGCAATTAAGTAATAAGTTCCACCCACTATTAATAAATATATTAGCTGCATGAATGAAAAAAAAAAGAAAATGTGTTTAAAATTCTTTCCAAGTACAGAATGCTGGATTTTACAATCCAGCATAAAGTTTTAAAATATGTTCAAATGCTATTAAGGAGTAGGTGAAATCTGAAATGTAAGAAGGTTATGCTCTGCACTACTTTAGAATATGGAAAGCCTATTCCTGTCAGTTTTCTAACAGCAAAAAATAAAAATAAAACAATAAAAAAATACTTATTTTACAAATTAAGGCAACCCTGGGATGGCTCTCTAAAGTGGCAATTCCTGAATAGCCGAAATGGGCAAAATAAAAAAATAAACCCACTTTTCTTAACAAGAATTACTTCCAGACATGAAAATGATCCCTTTTTCTTAATTGGAGGGCAAAATTCATGCATAGATGAAAAACCAGATGCAACCCGTAGACTCCTTGTTTAGTGTGAAGTGCAGATATGTGTGAGAGAAACTAATTGCCAAGTATGTAACAGTTTTTCGCCCAAAAATATCATATATAGTCAGGAAACCAGATATTTTTAATATTTCGTGAACGAAAAAAAGACTTGACTAATGATTGGAAAACACTCCAATAATGCGGAACAATATCTTAATCAGTTAATCAGTAAGAACATAAATCTGCGGACATTACACTCTCAGAGTCCAATTGAATTTGCCTCATGTGGGTCAAGTGGGGAAAAAGAGCATAAAAGGCAATCTTCTGACAAGAACAGCCTTAAATCATTTATCAATCAAGACAATACATTCCAAACCCACTGCTAGGAAGAGGTTAACAAGGACGATCCATGTTTTCACAATGCTCAAGATTTGTAATTTATTTCATTTCTAGAAATGATATTGTGATTTTTACGACCATGTATGATTATAGAATCTCCAATCTCAAAATCTTGCTCCGTTGTTTCACTCTAACACGGTAATCCGAGGTACAAGTTCTTAATCCATAAACAAGTGGAAAGAATTCCCACCAAACTGCCCTTGGTGCAATGTACTAGCGATCATGTAAGTAGTTAAACCAAATGGGGCATGTTAAGATCGCAGAAAGTAAACTGAAAAAGAAGTAACTTGACCAAACTACTCAGAATTACTCGACAATCAAATAAGTTCATGACAAGCATAAGAATACAACCAATATAACGTGCCAACAAACAATCCCATACAATAGGGACCTATGAATCATTGTCGTATATCGTTTGCAAATTCCCATAAACTAACACTGGTGATAAATGCAAAGCGTACAGTTAGTCAAGTACCTTAAAGAACCAGAGATAAACACATGCACACACAAACCATGATACTCGTCGCCCAATCAAACGAAACCCAATTTTAAAAACTTCAAAAGTTTCATCACAGAGTAAAAAAAATACAATCTTTCACNAAAAAAAAAAAAAAAAAGAAGAAGAAAGAAAACCAGCGGACCTGTATAATTGGGTTTGGCCTGTCGCAACAATAGTACTCAACTGAGTGAAGCGCATTCGTGCCTCTTGACCCGCAAACGTAATGCACAAATCGCCTGCGCCATCACCACCGCTAATTGCAGATCAGATTAATCCACCGAACCACACAAATCGCAAATCGCTAAACAATAATTCTCCTCAATCTCAGTGAACATCTAGCAAATTGAAAAAACAAAACACAGATACCCGAAATAATCGTAGGCGCCGAACGTAATGAAGAAATGGATACGCTGGATGAAGGTGCCCTGAAAAATTGGCCACTGCCCGCAGAGGAATGAAACCACCACCAACAGAGTCACCGATCCGTGGCAAACCAGAAGCCATTGTACCGCCATTAAAGAATCCTACTTTGCTCGGCGGGCTTGCGAACAATTAAACGACAGATTTTCTTCGACTGTGTGTTTTGTGCTGTGCTCAATTTGTGGTCTAAAGTCAAGCTTGCGCTGACAGGTTACAGTTTGATGGCCTATAGGGCTGCAAACGAGTTGAGCCGAGTCGAGCATGATTGAATTTCTTTTTTTAGCTGCTCGAGCTCGTCGAGCTCGATTTTTTAGGCTCGAGCTCGACTCGAATTCAAAATGCTCGACTCGGCTCAAGTTCGGTTCGAAAATTTTCAAATAATTTTGTCAAATTATATATATATAAGGGTATTTTAGTAATTTATCATATATCTCGAGCCGCTCGACAATGTAAAATTTGGGCTCGAGCTCGAGTCGCTCGAGCTCGACTTGAGTTCGGTCAAACTCGAGCTCGAGCCGAGCTTTGACTCGAGCGCTCGCGAGCCGCTCGACTCGTGTGCAGTCTTACCTGTGAGTCCCCAAAGATACTCTCTCTCTTTAATTTTTAGTTCATGGGATCATATTGGGTATTGGGTAATTGGATTTTGGAGTGTGACTGCAGAAATGTTGGTAGAAAACTAGAAATGTGTTAGATGCAGTATTTGTACAGATTTTATAGAATTAGGAAATAGAACAATAAATTGCTTGTACTAAGAAGAATAAAAATAAATTTCAATAGTACGTAGCTTGTGCGATGCATGAAACAAAAATGTATCCACTGCATTAACATTATTAGCAATATTTCACTCTGTACAAATGAATAATATAACGAATAAATTAAAATTTAAATACCTTAACATCGTGAAAAATGAACTCCGACCCGCTTATATTCTTTTTGTTTGACTTGGAAAATCTTGGATAATTTCTGACCAATCGAAACTTTGCAGTTATCTTCTTATTCTTTTCCAAGTATGTCAAATTGGGGACTCATGTTGATTGTGAAAAAAATAAAATGGAGGATACGAGAATTGCTTGGATCGGTGTACTTTAGCTAGAGTTGTAATGAATGTTGTTAAATAATTATTTGAGTATTTATAAGGTTTTGGAAAAAATGCAATCAATATAAATAAATATTGGAAATATATTTCTAGATAATATTTTTTTCTTTGACTGCCAAATAGAACTGTAATTTTTTGTTGCCGTCATTTTCTGATTTTCAGCCATATTTGTTATTTAATTTTAATTTTAATAGGTATAAAATGTGCAATAATCATGGGATATTAAAGTTTGAAAAATAAATTCTAGATAATGCTTTATTCTTTGACTGCCACAAAGAATTGTTCTTTGTTTGACCTGTAAAATTTAAAATTCAGATTCTCTGCCACATTTACTATTGAATTTTAACAGTTATGAAATGTGCAAAAATCATGGGATATTAAAGCTTGGTACTTTATCTTAAATATTATCATTTTTTTAATTGTTTTTTCCTGCATCATTATCATTTTTGGAACTGTTCAATTTGATAATTATAAAAAAATTATTTGATGGTATATTATATATTGATCTTTAATTAATTTATTTATTTTTTTGCAGGACTAATTCACACTTATAAGGAAAAGGAGCTTGTGAAATACTTTTTTATTTTTAATTTGTTTTCATAACGTGTTGTATTTTCTGTTATTTATTCAATTTTTGTTCTTCATTAACATTTATTAATTTACGATTAGCGGTTAAAAAAATAATTTGATTAAATAAAAAGGTTTTTAGAGTAAAAAAGATTATTGATAATTGTGGCCACTAATTAAATCATTAAAAAATTCGAGAATCAGTTTTAACAACTTGTAACGGCTAGTTGAAAGAAGACAGTCAATGAGATTTGTTGCCAATTTTATTAGTCAACATTAATCCAAATCTGACCTGTTTTTGTAATAAAAATATTACAAAACCAAAAATAATTGAACAGGAACATATTTAGGCAGGAATTCCCAGCTAGGTATAATTTAATTGGTTTTCGTAAATGCTGAGCCTACATATATATATAGATATAGATTTTGTATAATAAAAATGAGGCATTTTCCAACTCACTCCTTAAACTTCTTTCTAACATCTTGTTCAGTTCCTACCTATAAATTTTTTTCCACTACATTCCCTCTCACTTGCATTAAAATATTAACCCTCTATTATTCTCACAATATCTTTATATTCATTTTAGTTCAGAAAAGTAGTATCAACTTTATATTGATAATCGTACCTCTTTAATGAGATAATAGTGTCCACTTTGTTTATTAGCAGGCCTGACATACTTCCGTAAAATTAAATAACCCTATGATTTTTGTACCTTTTGTTGACTGAAATGGTTCCGGGTGAGATGGGTTGTAATCCCACCAGTCGAAAAATTAGTTCTCGAAGTTCATTTCACGGACGGCTCACCATCCAACTTCACACCTATGGGAAAATGAACTACAAGTTATCTGACTCCTTTGGACACCACTCAGCACAGCCTTGGTTCGTTTCCTACTCCAAGCGTACATGAACTTAATTATGGAGAGATGAGAATTATGACAGCATGCTATGAATCAAAAGCCTTTTTTTTTTTTATTATGAACTCAAAGAGAGGAGAAATTACTTTTAGCCTCTCATAATAGAGGTGTAGATACAAACACACATAAAATTTCTAGAAAAAGAAATTACAAATCATAACACTAAGCCTATTGCAAACTATTACAAGATTTTGTTATAGCGAGAAAGCTGAAGAGAATGATCAATCTCTTCTGCTTCCTCCAAGCATCCTTTTGTACAGGGCTGAGACCTTTTATTATTGCTTTCACCGACGGTAGGTGGATGCTCAGCTGTAATCACATGCTTTTGGATTCGGGTCCTTAAATTATTGTTCTACTTCTTTATTAAAGGCGACTTCTTTCTTCACATGGTGTGGTTCATGTTGTCTCTCCGGTGCCTTTCTTTATGACACATATTTTTGTCTGTTTATTCCCAAAAAAGAATATTTCTCCTTTTATATTGTCTTACCATTATCATGGTAGGTATCAAGTCTCTTTCCTTTTGAAAATTTATTTCAAAATTCCCTTCTTCTCCTTTGGGTTATCTTTTTTGCTTTGGCCGTTGTATTTTGACCAGAAAAAAGTTTTCCGAACATTGGTTTCTCCTGTCCTGGACAATCTTGACAAATATGCTCATGTCATTTTAAACCATGTAACATACTACACGCCTTATAGTGTGCATTTTTTGTCGATGCTAACTTGTTTTCCCATAAAAATTTTATATTGTTCTCGAACAAATCGTTAGCAAACTTTGAAGTAGTTGCGGTTAATGACTCAAGTAAAAATGATCCATTAAGGGAATTTTGAGTGAATATTTACTTTATCCATTTCAGTAAGGCATAGACATACTCCATATGCTCTTCTCGTCGCAAATTCATCCTCTGCCATGGAGCTGTATAATTGAATTGTCTCATGCGCCTTCATCTGATTTAGGTTCCTTTTATTTGGCAATTGTAACTTAATAAAATGAAAAGCAACATGCTTCCCATAATCACTTGCAGACTCTGGTGTTGTAGAGATGAACTTGAGTTCCAGAGTTTCTCCTCTTTTTAAGTATGAATTACAGAACCATGAGTCATACACAACCTTTGTAATCCATTGTGATATCCCAGATATTTCAGTAAAGCCTGGTGCCACCGTAAATATTGAGCCAATGACCCCTAAATCTGCCATTTTTCTCACTACGGTTGAATCAGCTTCCAATACCTATACCCATGGGTATAGTCCGGCTATATCGACAATAAAACTTTCAGGCTTAATGTTTCTCCTTGTTATTAAGTCCTCCATGGTAGAATTGTATTCTGGTAAAGAGGTAGGCCAACTAGTATTTTCGTTAGTGTCAACCTTTTTATGGCCTGTATGGGGCCTCAGACGACGTCNTTTTTTTTTTTTTTACCTCAGAGGTGCTGTGATGAATATTATCTATGGATTTTAAATCCTCAGTCTTAGTTTCTTCAGGGTCTGAAGAAGAACTTTCATAAGCAGAATCTAGTTTTTTAAGTGAAGTTACCTGATATTCTTTTTGAGGTTTCCTTGAAGCTTCCTCCTTTTGAACTACCTTTTGGTTCACCAATGGTGGACCTACCTTTTAAAGGGATTCTTGAAGTGCGCCCCATAGAAAGGTTTGTGTCATTCTAGTCCCCTCGATCATTGATTCAACCTTATCTAGGTTGGTCTGATGAATATTTCCAGCTACTTTCGCATTAATCTTGAGTAGCTCGAAGCTTTTGGACACCTCCTCGATATTTTTTTAAAGACGACTTACCCTTTTGATGATCGTGTCTTATTCAAACAATTCCATCTCTTGTTATTAAATCTGCAAAAATATTTTCATGAGATTTGATAACCAAAACATCATAATCATAATATTGGCATTCAACTCAGCACATTAATAATCTTGCCTCTTCTAGTTTAGATTCAATTTTATTTTTTAGAAAAGCTTTCACACTCGAGTTATCAATTTTTAAAGTAATTTTTTTATAGTAAAAATAACGGCCTTTTTTCTAAAAGCATTTTGAACTACAAAAAAAAACGTCCTTTCATTGATATGCCATTGGTTTGCTGAAATAACGACACCCCTTATCTACTTGCTTAGAGAGTTTACATAATTATCCCTTAGATTAAATTGCCTTTTCTGTTTCTGTTTATACCTTTTTTGTGGACACTTTTAGGCATTAAAAAATNATTTTTTTTTTTGAAAAAAAAAATACTCATTCCCTTTCCTTGAGATCCAAAATCACTCCTTTCCTGAGATCCAAAATCACTCCCCAATCCCCAACAATCAATTTTTATCCAAGATCTCCCCTTCCCTTTCCCTGAGATCCCACAACTGCTCCGTCCCCAATTCTAGATCTCCTCAAAACCCTATCTCCGACGATTTCCATAGTAAGAGGCAGTTGAAGATGGCGGCGGCATGATTAGGCGACGCATCACAAGTGAAAGCATATTATTTGGATTTCGTAAACCGTTCACATGCTCAACACTCCATCCCTCCCATCTGCAAGGAAATTGTAATACCTTCTCTCAATTCTCTTCTCATGGCGATGCGTTTGTTCGACAAGGATTTGGGTTTGTATATAGTTTATTCGTACTTCGTTCTTTTCGATTTTGTCACTCCGGGCAATGAATTTTCGGATTGTGTACATCGTAGTTGAATAATCATGATGTTCTGAATCAACATATTTGTTACTGTGTATTATATTAGTTGACAGCAAGTTGTTTTCATGTTGTTTGATACGCATTATGATATTTTTTTCCAATCAGCAAGATCCTCCCCATCGTCTACGGCCGCACCTTCTGCTCGCTGTCGATTCAGTAGAGGAGCAACTCGACGGGGGCCGCCGAAAATGAGAAGCAAACGCTGGCGACCGGTATTTTTTATTTTTTATTTTTACGTTAAATTTATATTTTATTTATGATTAGTATTTAATATGTAGTTTAGGGATTTATTTTATCGATCTGAGACTTCCATTATGTGCTTTAATTTATTATTTTTATTTTAATTTGTAATTATAATTTTAAGTATTTTTAAAAAGTAATAATAATCTCTTCAGCTCTGCAAATATCAATATGAAAAATGGAGATTGTGATACCGAGGGAACGAGGAAAATGTAATTGGAGGGCCAGAGGGATTTGAAAACTCTATTGCTCATTATCTTTTTTCTTATATTGTTTTTATGATATGATGTTATGCTTCGTGTTTTGTGGAATCTATGTGTTTAGCGAGATAGAGAGAGACGTTCTTCTTTTCTTCTTCTTTTTTTCATCTGTCTGTTGGTTGTGTAGACAAAAAATGGTAATTTTATTGTTATCTTTGCGTATAAATTAATTGATATTTTATTGTTTATAGATAATTGTTTTCATGTTGCCTTACAGCGGCTTTGTTGTTACTTATCTAAATTGTTGTTTTCAAAATATATATTATTAATTTTTTAAGTTACAATTACTTATCTTGGTTGTTGTTTTTAAAATATATATTATTAATGTTTTAAATTACAATAACAAACTTTTATTTTGTTTTTTAATTAGTTTAATTATTATGTATAAGAAGAAGAAGAAAAAGAAGAAATAAAGGAAGAAGAAAAAAAACGTGTAAAAGAGTTGAGAGAGAAAAAAGGGAGAAGAAAATAAAATGAGGAGAGAGAATAAAAGGAGGAAGAGAAAGAAAGAGAAGGATAAGAAAGAACAGTTTATTATAAGTTGGAAAGAAATCAAGCCTTTTTTAAATTCGATGTAATCTGCTGTTTTAATGGAATTTTGTTTTATTACTGGGTTAGTTGTGTACTTTCGCCTTGGTTTGCTTCGCTTTCGGTAAAGAGGTCGTTGCAAGATCGGCAAGAAACTTCTCAATTGTATGTGGCTTTAGTTAGGACTACTGCCCACCAGTGATCACTATCATCTGTGTACATAACTTGTTCATCTTCTGCAAATGGCAACTTTGGAAGTTTCTTAAAAACTCCTTTCAACTGCTTGGTTCCATTCTCGTGCTCCTTAGTCCATTTGAACTCAACATATTTCTTTAATAATGGACTAAATATCTTTCTGTATTGTGCAGGATAGTTTATAAACATTCCTACAAAATTAACCACTCCAAGGAAACTTTGAAGTTGCTTCTTATCTTTGAGTATATCCGGGAATCCTCGTATTTTTTCTACAATATGATTTTATAGAATGATCCCTGATTCATCGATCTCGATCCCTAGGAACTCGATCTGTATTGTTGCAATTATTGTCTTCTTTTCTGAAAGCACCAATCCTTCTTTATGACAAACATCTGAGAATATCTCAAGGTGCTTGAGATGTTCCTTCATGTTCTTAGAAGCAAAAAGAATATTAAATGTATACAAACATGAAACTGAAATAATCCTTGAAGAGATGATCCATTTTTCTTTGAAACACTTGTTGTGCATTTGCTAATCCCATTGGCATCACATTCCAAATGTAATGTCCTTGTAGTGTAGAAAAACCTATGAACTTCTTATTTTCTTTTTTCATCTTGATTTGATAGAATCCAGATTTACAATACTTTGGCATTTTTTTATACAATTTAACAAATGTTCACTTTTCGGTATTGAATAATCACCAAATTTTAGTATGTCATTAATCTCTTCGTAATTAATTACTAACTTGGATTTTCTCTTTTTATTATTCCATGATTTCGGACTTAAAATCTAGGGCAGCTATTATCAAGATACTCCTGTTTTGAACAATTTAAGGTCCAAATGTTCCTTAAGTATTTTATGCATATCCTTACGATTTTCATGGTTAAGGTTTTATATCTAACGAACTCTTGTTCCCTTCTGGCTTTTACCTTTAAGGATACTTTGAGTTTATTTGTATTCCACCAGGCCAGAGGATCTTCATTGGAATTTCTTTGAATTTTTCTTTTTACATCTTCTAATGAGATCTGTTCTTCGAGCGTTATTTTTTGTTGTAAGCTCTTGTCTAGGGTTGCATTAAAGAATTGAATAGTCTTCATTTTTGGGTGTCAAAGTTTTCCTTCTTCATCACCACGCTTGCTGCAAAATCTAATTGGCATTATTCTATAAAATGTCTCTCGTAGACTTTGGACAATGATCTGATAATCACATAAAGTTGTGAAAATAAGTCTTCTTGTCTCGTTTTCTTGAGTAATCTTTTGAATGTTTGTAGAAAATTATTTCCTAGCAAAACATCTGCTCCCGTATCGTGATAATAGAGATGAGTGGATATGTTAGTAGATGAATAGTGAATTAAAGTTTATGTATGCGTGATAATAGAGATGATTGGATATGTGAGTGGATGAATAGTGCATTAAAGTTGATGTGATATGTGAGAATAATTGATTGATGTTATTTAGTTATATTGATAATATTGAGGAGGGTGTTGCGTTGGATTAAATTTGAATTAAATTTTGAGTTTGTGTGAATAGAAAAATTAGGTGATCATTAGAACAGATTTTGATCCGCAATCAATAGCTACGTTAGTTGTCTTAATAAGGACTTACTTCTTTTGGGCCCAACTTACTTTATTGGTCAACTTTGTCATAAGAACCCAGTCCAATAGGTGTAGACACATCACAAAAAGAAAATATATTGGGCCAATCAAGTTTTTAGCATTGACTGCAGGCATTTCAAAACTACATTTCCAATTCAAAATCAAGCACTGCAAAACAGATACTAATTTCAAGTAAAATATATGGCTTGCCTCAGATTAATATGCAGAGCAATACTGTCTTACAAACAAGAAACTACATAAGTGTTTACTCATCAAATGAGCATGAAATGACCACACTACACGACACAATGTACACGTTATCGATATCATAAATGATAAAACACAAGCAATCGAAAAACACGTTGGTCACATATATTACAAGTCATCAACATCTATGGCTTTCTCAATCATTTGGACACAAGAGCTTACAGATTGTCCTTCAGACATGGCCTCTGCAAGCATTGCCCGAGCCTTTTCATGACGACGAAGGAGAAGGACAGTATTCAGTACAGCCCATCTAACTTGGGCATCCGCCTTCTTCTGTGTAAAGCCTAAGCTCTTAAGTAATCTATCCAACTGTTGTAAAACATAAAACTAATAAGAGAAAAAGCAGAATAAACCATTAATTATTATTTTTGGGTAACTGATTATTAAGAATCTGTTTGAATCAAGAAAAAAATAAAATAAAAATAAAACCGTGTTGATATCCGCAAGACCTCCTTCTGCAGCACCAAATAGGAGATACTCTGTTGCCACACCAGCTAGTGCTATGCACGAGAACCTGTTCAGTGTCTGAAAACCGAGCAATAACATCACAGGCAGTAATATCTTGTTTTCACATGCAGAAAATATTGACTACGAATGTGTACTAGCCATGTAAAGACGTAAAACTTACCGTAGCTGATACTTTCCCTTTGCTCACCTGAAAATGTAAAATCAAAATACACAACGTTCAAAAGTATCATATAACTCGAGTAATTTTCGGAAACTATACATCCATCCTATAAAATGCTGGACTAAGGTAACACTTTCAGTTCATGCATTGAAAACCTTCTTTTTAATGTTTATAATGTGATGAAAAAGTGAACAGACCATAAAATTTTACGGTAACATTACCAAGACTTGGCAGTTAAATTTCCCTGTTACCGGTGAGGAAAATTTCAAGGAGAAAATGACAGAACATAATTAAGGGAAATTATAGTTGGTTTAAGCGGACCCACTTCCTCAAGAAATTCAAAGTCGACAAAAGCAGTCCCAGCTTGAACATTGAGAGACCCTTCCTTTTTGAGTGCCTCCAAGCTGGTTAGTGTGTATCCCTTGGGTAAAATTCCAAGCAGATAGGCAATCAAGAAATGGCCTGCCTCATGCTAAGGCATATGAGGACAACAATCAAGAAGCGGTTAAATGTAAAAAGCAGACTGGAATCTATCACAACAGAAGCCTATCATTAGCAGCATAACTAATGTTATTAATTGAAACTAATTTTTTGTGACATGAGAGAGAGAGAGAGAGAGAGAGTTCGGGAGATCTAACCTGAACAACTCTATTATGGTATTTTTGGCTGAATAAGTGGCCAAGGGTGTCAAGAACCAAGAAACTGATCCCGCCATTGAAAGTAACCTATGCACATTCACTTTAAGCAAATAGTAAATTATTCGAAGTCATGATAGTTTATGTTGTATTAGAGAGGACAATGAAATGATGTAAACAATGGCATAGAAAGCTAGAGAATCATTAGTATGAAAACCACTTTTCTTCATACAAGTACAATCTTCAGTTTCTTTTTCAATCCAAAAACTCAGTCTTTCATTGTTATGAGACGACACTCTGTGTTTTTAGACAAACATCACTAACTTCAAAGGCAAAACTATCAAGCGGCTAAACGTTGCACTTGTGAAATAACAAGAGCGCACTAAAAGGGCAAAGAGTGAAAAGTAATCCTGCATAAAACGTCGAACATTGCCTAAAGTGAAAAGCAATCCTGCATAAAACGTCGAACATTCCATGCATGCTTAATCAGACAAATTCTTATGATCAACATCTATTGCTAGAAAAGCAGGGCAGAGTAACTAAATTTAATGCAGTACAAAAATAAAACAAGATGCACTTGCAACTCATCGCATCAAGTAAAGTGGTTCGGCCATAGAGCTCCAAATTGTGCACGAAATCCTGCTTCTAAAGGGTGAGTCCGAATCAAGACAGTTTCGCTGTTTCAGTTAATTTATGTAAATGTTAACAATGGTAAAGCATTAATTTGTTAGTAATACCGCATCCAAGGTCCAGAGGAACAACAGCCCAAGTGACGAGAAAAAGATCTGTTGGGGGCTTAGCTCAAGAAAGTTCCAAGCCGCAATTCCTCCCAAGACAGCAGCAGCCTGAATGCCCCTCTCTATGGAACCCAGAGTGGCGTCCACAGGAGACAAAAGAGAAGAAGTTTCTATGCCGTTCAATCTCAACTCGTCTCGCGTGTACAGCCTCTGAGGAATCTGCATTGAGAAAAATCCAATCTTTCAAACATTTTAACAACTGACGTCAAACATTCATTCATAAAGCAGATGAATTTTCGCCCTTCTCTCTCTCTCTCTCTCTCTCTGAACCTGGGGAGCGGCGCCAAAGCAGCGGAGGCCGCCGGGTTTTCCCTGCAAATCCCTGACGAGGCCCAAAGCAGCTCTCTCGTCCCCCTTGCTCAGCTCCTCGTCGACTTGCTCCAGAACCCGCCACGCCGCGCCACCGTCACCGCCGGCCCCACTAACTATCCGGCAACGACGGCGGGAAAGAGACAGCCATAGCCCACCGCCGTACACCAAGACATGACTTCCCATCTGCCCTGAAAAACTCTTCGATTTCCCAAAAAGTTCTCTTTTTTACGAAACCCATTTTCTATGCATTTCCCTTTTTTTATAGCCACATACAGTGGCGGAGGATAACGTACTTGAGACGCCGTCGTTTCAAGAAAACTATAAATAACAATGGGAATTTTCCGTCACTTGTAAATGGAAGTGTGCATATCCTCAGTCAAAGAGCCTTCATCGCCTGCGGTGGTTCGGGTTCAGAAGCTTCGAGCGTGGGCGAGGACGGCGGAGGGAGGCCAGGCCGTGGTGCGACGGCGCAGGGAGCTGAAGAGGGTGGACCGAGAGTTGGAGAAGGGAAATTACAAGGCGGCGCTGTCCCTGGTTAAGCAGCTTAAGGCTCATCCCGCCGGCCTCCTCCGTGGATTCGGTGCCGCAGCCGCCGCAAAGGTACAACAAATCTTTTTCTGATTCTCTTTTTAGCCCATAGATTATACTATTATTATTGTTTTTTCTTGGGGTTGCCCTAGACATGGCCAAAGGGTCGCCGGCCCGCCGACCTGGCCCTGACCGGGCACGGACCTGGCACGGACCCGGCCCGGTCAAACCCGTTGACCACGGGTCCGGGACCGGCCCGGATTTCAGAAGGGCCGTGTAAGGGTCATTCGTTTCATGACTCGGCCCGGATTTCAGAAGGGCCGGGTCGATGACCCTTCTTTTCAATTTTATTATTATTATTTTATATTCTTTTTTAAGAAAAGCACGGATCCGGCTCGGACCCGGCACGGCCCGGACATGACCCGGCCCGGACATGGACCCGGCACGAGTATAGGTCCGTGCCGGTTCAGGGTTAGTGTTTTCGAGCCCGGCGACCCGGCGGGCCGGGCCGGGTCGTGGTTTTGGCCATGTCTAGGTTGCCCAGAAGAAGAAATCTTTTCCCCCATACATTATATTATCGCTCGTTTATGCTTATAACAGGTGCAATAGATTTGGAATTCATGGCACACTTGCAATATGAAAGTAGTATTTTAGGTTAAAATGTAATCCCCGGTTGTGAAGCGAAACGAGTCACTCGTGAGTTCGGTTAGACTGGTGAAGGCTCGAGCACGACTCAACTCGTTTGATATACGAGCCAACCTCAAACTCAAACAGTTAAAGCTCGAAATATGAATTTTTATGTAATTCTATAGTCTCGAGCTCAGTTCGTTAATATTGATAAACGAGTCGAGCTCGAGCTCGTTTATCGACTCGTTTAGTTATTAGCTTCGCTCGATAAAGGCTAGAGCTCGACTTAATATTAATCAATGAGACGAGTTCAAACCCGTCTAGTTAGAAGCTCATCTCAATAAAGACTCGAGCTTGGCTCTCCTTGTTTACACCCTACATACCTTAATGCATGCGCTGAATGAGTGAGTGACATTTGCATTTACGTTAATAAACGTGTTGTCAAATGTCGCCTATATGTTTTGTGTGCAAATCAAGTATGCACTCAAGAAATGGCAGCAAACTTTAGCGACTAATGATAGGGAAAAGGTCTTTTTTTCGTGCGTTGAGTAAAGGTGATTTTTAATATTTATAAAACACTTATTAGTTTGCCGGTATTGATTGATGTTGTAGGATCTTAGACATGTATCGGCTTTGAACGAGTTGAAGTTAGCTGGGGAGACTGAATTATCATCTCTGCAGTTAGTAGTTGATGCTATACTTCATTCTATCACAAGTAGCGTTGATTTTCAGCTGCAAGAGGAAGAAGCTGAGGTATGCCAACAAACTACCATTTTCTAGCTTTCTTTTTGATTTTCTAACTTGGGAATATTCGTCGTGCCTTCTGCATTAATGTTGACCTTCTTTTTTTCACTAACCAGACAATGATTTCAAGCTTTGAACATTTTGTAGGTATCCATACAAGATTTTGGGAAAGCAAAGGATGTTGGGAGTTATGACTCTATTCATGAAGATCATATGATGTGTATGCAAGTAAGATAATATGTTTCATACTGTTCCTTTAATATTTTAGTAACTTCTCGTCTTTTATTTTCTTCCAAAAGTGAACATTATCAAGAAAATCAACTAAACAAATGAGGATAAAGCGTAAACCAAAAAATTCAAGATAAAGATATACTTCAAATTGGGTGTTTGAATTTTGACTTTACTATTTTTCAGCACGAAGCTGGTCACTTTTTAGTTGGTTATATGATGGGTGTTTTGCCCAGAAGGTACAAAGTACCGTGTGTAGAGGATCTACTGCATGACCCGTTTGCTCGTGGGAAGGTGGAGTTTGTTGGCTTTGAATTTCTTAGAGATGTAAGTGTAGTTATCTGGTTTTTGCTTTTGTCTGCTCATGCAATAATTTGCTGAAGTATTAGCATTTAATCGACTATTTGTTATATGCTACACTGCTGCATTTGTTGCAACTCGACACGATAAAATCTTTACATATTCTAATCACGTAATTCTTTTGCAATATAAACAAATTGTTCTTATTATTCCATTGCTCATTGTTTTATGTACAATATGATGTGCTGAATGTTCCGAGACTCGATGAAAAAATCCCTTCCGACTATTTTCTTTCAAATTGGATAGAAATAGAGAAAGTTAAAGACATTTTAGCTTTAGAACAAATGATTGTGTTTAGGTTACTTATTTTCTGGACCAGTCTAATATCTAAATCTTATCTAACCAATCAATTTGAATTAGATAGCTAAAGCAGGCTCTTCCAATTTGCATGATCTTAAAGCCAAACGAGTTAATACACGCAGGTTCGTGCGGATACCATGTCGAACAAAAACTTATTGAAAGGCAGGCCTAAAAAAGAGGTGAGATCTCATCCCTTAAGCAATCAATCTCTGTTTGGAATTGTTGCACTATGCTACAATATAACCATTTTCGAACATCCAAAATCTCGTTTCAAACAGACTTTGAGAAAATTCTGTATTGTGATACTCGGCGGCTTGGCAGCTGAGCATCTGCTGTTTGGGTACTCAGAGTTGCTCCACTCGGACGTTCAAAAGGTTGTTTATTTCTCTTCATCTTTAGTATCACACTTTTTTCACGCATTTAGTTGGTGACATTTTTTAACAGGTGGCTTATCAATTTTTGTGTGAAGCAGTTGTTCACAGTACTAAAGTGGCTTGGCCTGTCTGAAAAAGAAGCCGATTACGAAACTAGGCAAGCTGCAGAAGTTGCAGTCTTGATACTGAGTAGTCAGAGTGAAGCTCAGTCGAGGCTTGCTGAGGCCATGGCTTTGGGGAAATCAGTCGGGTTTTGTATCAACACAATTGAGACAGCATTGAACTTGAAACTATTAACTACTCTCGATTAGTTTTTTTATGGTTTGATCAGTCTCGGTTAGTCTTCTAATGGCTCGTGCGATTCTTGATCAGTTGTAGGCATTCTGATTTGGCATATTTTTTTTATTTATTTTTTTTATTTTTTTGGTTTGTAAGGTCAGCTATCTTTGGAACTTAGAAGTTAAAACCATATTGGCTGAGTTGNCAGATAGTCTTGTCCCTTTTGGATAAAAAAAAAAAGCGAAAAAAAAACTGAGAAATGGAGAATATTTCTAACGATGGGGCCCGCAACTTGAGGTGCCGAAGCGCATCATTTTCATATTCCACAGTGGAATGCAAAATTGGGGAGATCATAGATTTTCCGGTGGCTGGCTCTGGCAATGGTGGCGGTGAGTTGCCGGGTTTCAAAAAAGGCGAGTCTTTTAATTCGGTGATTTCCAAGAGCTGGTGCTTTAGGGATCCTGAGTTGATGAGGAAGAAAAGGATAGCTAGCTACAGAGTGTACACGGTTGAAGGCAAAGTGAAGGGGTCCATCAAGAAGAGCTTCAGGTGGATTAAAGAGAGGTATGCCAAGATTATGCATGGGGAATAGATAGGCATTATTATTGTTGTTATTTTGAATATTAAGTTCCCGATCGTCAGTTTATGTCGACTCTTACTATTTCTTTCAACAATTTTTGGATTCGATGCAACTTTGTGTGAGATTTGCTCAGTTTCAAAGGAATTTTTGAAAATTTGAATGAAATGTGGAAAAAGGTTGTGATATCGGCCTTTACACAACCGAGCAACAATCGTCATATCGCGTACAAAATGGACTTCTATCAATGCATACATCATAAATGTACATTGAAACAGTAGAGGCAATCACTAGTGACATCGGTTTCTAGATTAATAGGAGAAAACAGTTAAACCGTGAACCAGATGTACCTTTATCGATTCATACATCATGTTACTAAAAACAGAATTGTCACTAAAAAAATAAGAAGGATTGAATGTTGATATGTGTAACAAATCTGTCTGGAATTGAAATATCCTGAACAGGTAAATAATTTTGTAAGAAGGGCCATCCTTACAGCGGCCAATTAACGGAACACCCAACACTGGGCAGAAATAAGCCAAGTACCGATGAACAAAGGGCACTTCAAACAGAAAACCCGACACATGGAATAAAAGACCCACGCTACACAACTCGAGTGAACTAGTGTAGCTTCAAACCACCACATAAACCCAACTCGAGTTTTTATCAGTTATCTTACTGTCACAACCACAAATGCCAAACAAACTGGTCCTTTCTTGAAACACGAATTCTCACAACTTCCTCCAGATAGAAATTTCCCCACGGCGCGCGCTCTGTTAACTAACTCCCCTTTTGTTATCGCAATTTCATGGTATTTATACAGTAACGTGACAAACAAAAGCATATGAATGTATTCAGTGAAACCTTTCTTCGTCATCAAAACGCAAACTCTCGATACCCTTTATGGCTGAGTCGTAATTTTTTATGCCAGGGTTGTTTCTACCCGAAGAACTGTGCTTTGGGTCAGATGATCCACCGAGAGGTGAGGTTCTTTGGGCACTTGAGATTTTGTTTGCAGTAGCTGGGCTGGCCTCAGGGGTGCGTGAACGAGTTTGATCAGAATCATTGCCCAAAGTGAAAGTGTCTCGACTTCCAGAAACAGCAGGCCGCCTTAGTGAGCCACTGGACCTTCCAAAGAAACTCGAACTGGAAAGCTGCAAAATTTTTACCAGTCAGTCAACAATTTTTGAGGTTAAAAACTGTACAAACGTGCAACACGTAAAAAATGGAAATACATATACTATCCGGGATATTTCGCTGAAATATGATACTGTAATTATTGACGGTTAAAAAATCAGCATATTTTGGTATATAGTTTTAATGATCCTCACGATCATAAAATCTTATTTTGAAGCTGTCAAAATTTTCAATACTGTTAGTGTACCCTTTCTGCAGATTCAATCTAGTTTCTAAAATGAAACCAATATAATTGGAGTTGCGTGACTTTTTGCCTTTTACCTTTTTCGTATTATATATTAGTTAAAGACAATTCTTTAACACCTTTTGTAACAATCATTTAATGAGTCGAAAATATATCATAACAACACCCATTAAAACTTGGGGTCACGGCATCAAGTATTCAAAACCAGATTCCAAAAGCCTCTCCACCGTATTACAAAGAATATCGATGCTTCTAATCAATGCACATTGTGACTAAATTCACAGCTAACCATAGCATCCTTGCTAGCTGAATCATTTGCAGCTGGACTTTTTTGTCTGGATAAGCTCCCAGCGTTAATAAGTTGTCCTGAACCTCTTCTTCTAGAAGGATCTGCTGAAGACGTGCCTACTTGTCTCCCCTCTTCCTCACCTGCGTTAATGTGAACTGAGGAGCATCTTAAGATCACAAGATATAACAAAAGTTTTAAAGATAAAATAATAAAAATATATTATTTAAAGGCAAATGATAAGCACTTAACTGAAAACATGTAAAGGTAAATGAGCACTCATAGGAAAATACCTGGCGGTCGCTCACCACTGGGAATTGCAGGGGGGAGTCCTGAGCTTGTACCGGCATTTGGGCCCTGAAACAAAATTACAAAATAAATTATATAAGTGGAAAATGATGCTTCGAAAAATATCCCAGGTTCAATCACTTACAAGAGTACGTGAAGGAGGAGTGGCCATCTGAGACTGCTGGTACTTCAAAATAGTCCAATCAAATACATAGTCAAATTGGAAACCTGGAATGGAAATAACATGGCGTAGTTTTATATTTAGAGAATTTTGAGCTCAATGAATTGGATCCCAGAGACGGCATCTAGTGAAACTAACACAGTAATAAAGTGAATATCCATACCTTCACGGATGAAGAGATCACGGAATATCCTCTTAAGATAAGCATAATCGGGTTTGTCTTCAAAACGCAGCGAACGGCAATAATGGAAATACGAAGCAAATTCAGTGGGATAACCTCGGCACAGTGCCTGCATTTACACAGCCATTAAAAATACTTACACATAAAGTACGTACATCCAACCATAATTTTCGAGGATGAAATTACCTCAATAGAAGTTGACACCTTTTTCTCACTTATCTTCTCATATTTCTGTTTTTTGGTTCCTGCTTTTAGTCCCTGCCAAGGTAGGCTGTGGAGCATATATGTCAGACCATAGAATGCAATAATAACCAATATGATATTAGGGTCTAAAATATTTTAAAAATTACCTTCCTTTTAAAAAGTACATCAAGACAAACCCAAGAGATTCTAAATCATCCCTTCTGCTTTGTTCTACAAAAAAAACATCATTGCATCTCAACAAGTTATATTCAACAAATAAGACTAAAGAGTAATAAATTAATGGTTCAGTATTAAAACATGGAAAAACAAAAACTGACCAACCTATGCCCAGGTGAGTGTTCATACTGGCATATCGTGCTGTCCCGGTCAAGTTTTTGTTCTCCCTGAAGGTTACAATTATATAGGTTAAAATTAAACCAATTAAGCGTACTCAGAAGTACCATACTTACACTCGAGAAGTTAAAAAGAGAAGAATTAAGATCGTAAACTTATACATAAGCAAAGAACAAGAGCCAAAAAAATTCTATGCATAAGATCCCCATTCCAAATAAAAACAACTTAAACTACAAGAATGTGAAATGGAATAAGTAAATGCTCGATCAATATACCATTACAAGCCCTACCAACAATAACACACACAAATCTATGGCCCTAGTACCTCCTCCATCAAAACTGAAAATGTCCTTTCCATTACTATCATCAATCTCCCGACTGAATTTTGGAAATATGACAAATCAGAATTCCAAAATTACCTTTCAATGTTCTCTGATTATTTTGGGTTTTTTTTCAAGATACACTATTAAGCAACTTTTTTTAATTATTTTTTCCTCGAAAATCATGTATGGCATGGCTTTGATATTACGAAAACAATATCCTTATATGAAGCATAAGAACTATTATAGGTATGTTGCTTGTTTACAGTACACCACAACTCTTGAGCGTCAACTTATTCTCTCTACTGGGAAGTCGTCAAAAGTTAAAACATCTGCTAAGACTTTCCATAAGAAAGCAGCAAGTTTGTCTGATAATTGAATCCAAATAATTCATTATTAAAAGTATGCATCATGTGGTCTCAAATAACCCTATACCCTATTAACAAACAATTCCCATAAACACAACAAATGACACCTTAGGCACAAACGAAAAGTGCAGCAATCCTTTCAGGATTTTCATTTATGCTGTTATCACTGGTAGTGAAATTATACCTATAAACAAAGTAAAATATGCTCATCTCACCTATAAGGAATATGTTGGTGAGTTGAATTGTCTCTATATTTCTTCGCCAGGCCAAAATCAATGACGTAGACCTAATATTAATTAATGCCAAAAACATTGTATCAGCATGTAAGTCACCTAACCTATTCCCAATAACAGAGAGCCAAAAAAAAAAAGTAGACCTGATTAGCACGCCGTCCCAAGCCCATGAGGAAATTATCCGGCTTAATATCTCTATGTAGAAATGATTTTGAATGGACGAATTCAACGCGATTGATCTGAAATAACATATTGAAGCAAGTTGATCAAGGGAATTGTGTGCAACACTGTGACTTATGCAAGGAAAAAGTACTTTTCCTATTGGCAAGGCAGTTGAATCAGATACAAAATAAACGTAATATCAACCATTTGATCGGCAAGCATCAGAACTGTCTTCAGAGAAAGTTTCCTACTGCAGAAATTGAATAGATCTTCGAGACTGGGTCCAAGCAAGTCCATAACTAGAACATTATAGTCACCTTCGACACCAAACCATCGAACATTTGGTATACCAGCTGCAGTTAATTAACATTCGAATTTATGATACAATATACAAAAATAATTTTGTCAATGAACAAAAACAAAGATAGGATCATTACTTCCGCCTTGTAAAATTCTGTACAACTTCGACTCATAGAGCAACTGAGGATGTTTTGTCTTCACATTTTCCTAAAAAGGCCAAATATGGAGTCAAAAACTGAATTTGCTAAATATTCTATATTCCTCAACATGACATAACTACTAGAACTATTGGCACCCATGGAAAATGTAGTGACAGATTATCCACTGATTGACAGTATCAAATACTAAAAAGATAAATTTATAATTCCGCATCTCCAGACAGGCGTTATAACATCACTGTAATGTCCTTCCTAACAACAATTAGCAACTCTTCAGAGATTCAATAGGAGAAAAGACTGAGACAGAAAATAAAAATAAAATAAATATAAGACTTTATGATCGGTGCAAATTCAAGTCAAGTCCTTCACAATGCGCCAACTGGAGTTACTGGACCACAGAAACTCAATTATTAATCAATTGCAAGATGATTAATTTCAATTAAACCATATTGGGGTAACTCAAAATTTCAACATAAGGTGAAAAGTACACATCAGTAAATTAAACAATCCAGTAGCACCAACTTCCACATAAACATAAAATGCACTAGCAAGAAAATCAAACCCAACAGTCAGATTAATAAAAAGAACGCATTAAAAAAAAAAAATACAAAACAAAACAGAAGCAGGACGTACTAGCTTAATCGCCACCTCCTCATTAGTCTGAATATTCGTCCCTGTACCCAAGAACAAAACCAACAAATCAACACCAAAATCCAGTGAACAAAAACTCAAACCCAGAAGCAAAGTGAATAAATTTAAAACCCGGAAGAAAAAGTGAAGAAATTTAACCGGAAAATTAAGAAAGCAACCAAAATTTACCAAGATAGATCTCTCCAAAGGATCCGCTGCCTAGCTTCCGACCCAATCTATACTTGTTCCCCACTCGCGGCTCCATACCAGGAAGACCCTAAGCTACAGAACCAAAGTCCGCCCCCAGAAAACCTAAATTTCACGGGCAATCAAATCAAACCCTAGAAAACCAATTGCAGAGATTCAGGCGGGCTGCTCAATTGAATTTGGGTTTCGTAAATGGAATGATGAATGGATAAGTTTTTCTCTTTCAAACAGAGCTCGAGCACTAGGGTTAGCCGGTTAGGTTAGGTCTAAAGCGGATGTGCTTAAAGAAGAAGAAAGAACCAAAAGGAAAAAAGAAAAAGGAAAAAATGTATTCGCTTTAGAAATAGAATCTCACACTTATTTATATTTACTCTATAAGCGCGTGGACCTGCGAGCCCGCGCGTTGGAAGACTTTCGTCGCTTTTTCCTTCTGACGGAAAAAGTGTTTGGTTCGTGTTAGTCACGCGCGCCTCCGGCGAGTGGTTTTGGATTTCTGATCACGTGACCTTCGTTTTCTTGGAACTGGCGAGAATTGGATTTGTCACGTGAGTTTATTATCGCGGACCGCAACAAAGTTCCGGCCGTCCTTGGCGATAAATTAATATAAAAAATAAACATTAATTAATTACAATAAAATAGAAAAAAAAATCAATTTTTCTACTTCAGAATACAAATATATCCGCTTAAAATGTGTTTTATTGGTTAGTCATAATTAATTTTAAAAAAGTAGTATAATTAGTTGTTAGTAGAATTTTGAATTTATATTAAAATAATATTTAAAATAAAATAATTAAAATTGATTTGATATAAAAAGATGACAGAGATGATGTGAAATGATGATTAGTTAAAATTATGTGAGTTGATAAATAATTAATTAAAGTTCATGTGATGTTTAAAAATGGTTGATTGTGTTATTTCATTATATTGATAACTAGTACAATACCTGTGTATTTCATTATATTGATAACTAGTACAATACCCGTGTAAATACACGGGTGTTGAATTATAAAGCATATGTAAAAAAATATTAATTTTTTAACTAAAAAAATTTAATTATATATAAAAAATTACTTTGAATTTTAATTAAATTGTTAAATTATATTTTTTAGTCATAATAATTAAACACCGTATATTAAACAAAAAATTCAACTCATATTGAATTTTCATACTTATATCATATAAAATTATCGATATTATTTACTATTACTAAGTAAAAAAATATATATCTTAAATAAATAGAAATAATATGATGATATATGTATATGCATTAGTGCAGAATATGTTTGTTTAATATTAAGTAAAATAGATTAATTTTTTACTTAATTAGATGCCTAATACATCAAATGTCGTATCGGTCATGCTTCACGGTTTTCTAACTTTATATGTAATTTTAGAATTTAGATAAATAATTATTTATTTTTATTAGATTGATAACATACCAATTAAATTTAAAATAAATATCATTTTTAAAATAATACATACCAATTTCTATTACTTTATAATATAATTCATAGTTTTATTTTATATCTGTTTGTCCCATTTTTGTTGCGTTTTTCCTTATTGTTTTGTCTCTTTTTTCCCCCGTTTTAGGTCTTTTCGTTCGTTTTTAGTTCGTTTTGTGTTTCATTGCATGTTTTCTCTTATTTTTTAGTCTTTTCTGTGTTTTTCGGTTGTTTTTCGATTTTCTGCGTTTTTCTCGTCTTTTGTGGTGTGCAAGTCAGATGCCTCGTCGATTATAAATTGAAGGAGAAAAATATTTTGGGTGATCTTAATTTGTAGAGGACTTCGTTGGGGACAAGCAGAAAAAAACGGAATAGAATTCCAAGTCTAAATGAGCCTGAACGAACCCGAGTCGTGAAGTCGTGCACGGAAGCTAGCGGACAGGCCACCGCCACGCGCGTGTGATGAATAATCGTGTATCTCCTCAACTCGTTTGCTTCGAAAGTTGCTTTGCCATGGCTTCCTTCTTGACGATAAGTGTGGACGACTTGGATTTCTCCTTATCTTCTCACAAGTTTTGAGACAGCTCGAGTTTTAATCCTTGCCAAACTCCGGTTGTATGACAAAACTCTCACGAATTCTAGTCACACGATATTTGCTCTTACGAACAATTTTTCATTAACTTCTTCAATTATATTCGAATGAGTATATAGGTATTTATAGGAAAAACTAGATTTAGTCCTATGAAAACTATAATTCTAACCTATGAAAATAATATCTAGTCCTAAGGTAACTAAATGTCTTGCATCCCAAAACTTAGCAAAATATAAAATCTATCATTATATAAAAAGAATAACCTTTTTACAAATTTAGAAACTTTTTTCCATCAAAATTATTAAATATATCCTAATATAGTAATTGTTGGACAAATCTAAATAGGCAAAAAAATCGGCTCATTTTTTTTAGTTTATCAAAACCGTTTTTTGACAATAAATATTTGTTTTTTTTTTTCCTATTTTTAGTATAAATCTACACGCTTATCTCTTCTGTTACAAAATTCCATTGCATACGTCTCCCGTGTTTTAAAAATTTTATCCCTTATCTATACAGATTTTAAAAAATAAAATAAAATAGAAACCAATTCATAATTACTACTAGAAATCCAATATCTTTAAAAAGAAAAAATAAAATAAAATAGAAACCACTTCATAATTACTACTGAAAATCCATTATCTACTTTAAGAAGCTAAAAATTTTATCGGTCTAATTACTAATATTTTTACAAATATTATAAGCTCACCATACAAAAAAGTATAATAATAATTTTGAAATGGTGTGTAATTAAATTTTTTTATATTATCTTATACAAAATAATTTTACATTGTTTGACCCCGAATCTTTAATTTATAATTATTATTTAAGTGTTGTTTATCTTCCTCTTTAATTTATAATTATTTTTTTTGCTTCCTCTTTTTAAATAGGATCAATAGTAGTTTCCACTTCGGTCATTGAGTGACTCAAACTCGAGGTCTATTTATAATATTGTTAATTTAATATTGTTTCCGTGCATCGCACGGGGTATACACTAGTACCTAACCAACTAAATAATTCCTTGCCTAAATAAATAATCTTAAACTTTCTGAGAAAAGTTTGATTTTTGGAGATAAGAAAATACTCCTCACGTCACTAACCAACTAATCACCTAACCAAACTAATCTATATCTATATATATAATACTAGAAGTCTCCGGTTGTGCGATGCACAACCGGCCCATAATACCAAAACATTTATGTTTGAAGATGATACCTCCAAATTTTAAACAAATAGATTCAATTGCATCAAAAGACTATTGAGAAAGAACATACGCTCACAAATTCACCTAAAAATATTAATAAAATGAACAAATTATACGACAGAAAATTGATCACACGGAAGATTGTTAAAACACAACTTTTAGTTTTTAAAATCAAAGATCATTCGTCAAACATTATTTATGTGATGACCAATTTGTCAAAAAATCCGACACACTTATTAATTGGTTTACAAATTATTTGTTTTGCTTGTGTAATGTAGAGGAAAGAAAGTATATGTATATATTGAGGTGTAAAAGATGTCGGCCCAGTAAGTAAAACATTGGGCCCTATTGAAAAAAATTCTACACGGCCCAAATAAAGAAATGTACAAATTTGCCCAATAAGTAAAAAATTGAACTAATTGAAATTATTGGAATTTGAGAAAGAAGATACAAATATGCCACCTAAAATGGCAAGTCTAATCATCATTATAACAAATAAGTGATGTCATATGAATGAATAGTTGTGAACCAACAAAATATACCTATAACTCAACCTACACATGTGAGTTTGCTTTTTCTCTCTCTCTCTACACTGTAACCTTTCCCCCAAATCTCAAAAACCTAGGTCTTGCTTTTCGCCGATGCGCCTCTCCACTGGCGGCCTCTCCGTCACCGCGAGACATCCACCAGCACGGGGGTGGCCATCGGACCTCCTGGCGTGTCGGTTTCTCCTCCAGTGTGGATTTGCGCCTTGTTCAAGCGGCCATAGCGGGATTTTGAGTGCCGGTTCTCGCCGGCGAACCCGGTTTCTGCCGGGGTGGGTCACTGCCAGCGGCCGACTCTGAGGTTTATGCCTCTTTCACCCCTTGCCCTCTTCTCTCTCTGGTGCTGGATTGAAGAGCGTCCTGGCAGAGGTGCCCTGCGGCTTTGGTTGATTTCGAGTGGTCTTTGCTGGTTATGTGGGGATGGGGGTAGGCGCGAGCCTCCCAGTGTTGTCTTGCTGGTTCTGCCTGTGGGAGGGAGCTGGACTGGTCTGGTTTAGTCAGCCGTCGTTGAAGGGAGTTTCTAGGTTGTGGCTAGTTCCGTGCTTCTGTGTTGGTTCGCGTGGTGTTGGGTCGGAGTTTGTTTGGCTGGTGGGGAGGGCCTTATTCTATCTAGTATGGTGTTGTTTTTTAGTATTTTGTTTTTGTGGGTGTTCTGTGTTGTAATTCTCCTATGTGTGGGTAGTGTTTTCCTTTCTTTCGCGTTTCGTGTATTCTCCTGTTGGGAGCTTTTTCTTGTCTATTCTCCTGTTGGGAGTGTATAGTCTGAGTTGTGTCTAGTGTGTGCTGTGGTAGGTTTAGGCCTAGAGCACTCAGCCGTGGGTGTCTCTCTGTATTGGAGTCAGTTGACTCCCGAGTTGTATTCATGTACATTTTCGTGCTAAAATATTATCTATCGTTTCGAAAAAAAAAAAAAA